CTTTGACAATTTTCTTCTTCTTATTCTTTTTGGTAATCTTTACAGGAAAAGGGGTTACTAGCCCATTGTTCCCGGCTTACTGGATGAGTTACCTAATTTGTGTCCTTTGGAATACTGGCAAAAATAAAATATTTCCACTATTTTGAGCTCAATTTAACCCTTTGACTGTTGCAAGCCCATTTCTGAAACTCATTCTATGTCGCAAAATATTTTGGAAAAAAAAAAAAATTCTTACCAAAATGTTAGGATTATTTTACCAAGTGCTTTAAGCCTAAAAAATTTTTTTGCCATCAGTACTTACCGAGATACAGAGGCACAAAGTTGGCAGAAAATGGGCCGCGTATGGCAACAGCAGCGAATGCCCCTCACTTGGTATTCTTTTATTTACTCCAATTTGAAGGTTTCTTGTATTTTCCAATATTTTTTCTTTTCGAAGTAACTTATGTGGCCTGTGAGACCAAAGTAAGGTGCATTGTTCAAATATACACTCATTGTTTACAACACAATAACTGCACAAACATTATCACTATTAGACTGTTTATAAAACTTGTTTACAAACAATACAAAACATTGTTTATTACTATTGTTCAATATATACATATGTACAGTCAATGAACACTTTCCTAGAACTGCTGCAGCTTGTGGAAATCTTTGAAACGTGGGTATATGCAAAGTGGTACTTGACACTCTTCACACGTAAAACGAGTGTCTGCGTTTTTGTGTTATGTCCACATACAAAACACCTCTTCTGAGCACTTTTCTTGAAAGCAGTAGGAGGCATTTGTATGGGGTAGTGATCACTGGGCCTCAAACGAGATGGCATGTGTTGGTAATTTCGTGGGCGCCATCAGCAAGGAAATATCAAGAAGGAATAAATGTTTTATGTACCACTTATAACTCTTGCGTACACAATCAGCAAACCCAATCTGCATGTCACATTTGTCCAAGAAGCACATACTGAGGTTATAGTCCATGACAGCTGCAGGTTTTAGAATGAGTTCACTGGTCTCTCCATTCTGCCTGCCACTGTCTGCCTTTCATTTCCGTGAACTGATGTCAACAATGTGACATCACGTTTGTCATGCCACCGAAATGCCATGATGTCATTGGCAGCAAAGGCCTGCACCTCACCTCTGCGAGTGCAAGTGTCGAACCTTGGCATATGCTTACAATTACCATGCACTGTGCCACACACGTCTGTCATGTTCATTCGCAAGAAATCACTGAGTAAGAGGCTTGCGTACCAGTTATCAGTATGTATATAATCTATGCCCCTTACCAAGATATGGTTCCAACATTGTTCTAACCACATCACCAGAGATACCCAATAACTTCCTGGTATCTCTTTATGTATTACTGCCAGTGTACACAATTATATCCAAATCCAGACCACTTTTGCAATCACACAGTACAAATAACTTTATACCAAAGCGTTTCCTCTTGCTTGGTATGTATTGCTTGAATGAGTTTTTCTTTGAACAAAATCTAAGACTCGTCAATAACAAGCTTCCTGAAGGGATAAAAATACATACAACACTTTTGTTTCAGGTACATAAACACATTTCTGATCTTATATAACCTGTCGCTTCTGTCAGGCCTTGTTTTGTCTGAAAAGTGTAACATACATAACAATATATAAAAAAAAAAAAAAAAAAAAAAAAAAAAAAAAAAAAACGACTGACTCCTATAATATCACTAAAACCTGGGGTTGAAATCAGGCGTTCCGTCGACCAGTATGTGGTGACAGTGTGCTTATACATTATTGTGACAAAGAACAGGTACATCTCTGCCACAGTTGTGTCTTTCCACTGGTGTAGCTGTGACCTTGATGAAAGAATTGTATTTGCCATGGTGTACTCATAGTGTGTGTTGCTTTCCTTGACAATAATTTCCATCAGGGGTTCATCAAAGAATAACTTTTAGCATTCTAGTTCAGTAGCATTGTTCCCAAGTGTACACAATGGCCGTATTCCACTTTGTGTTTCATCAAAGTCATGGGATTGGGAAAAAAATCGTCACCTTGCTGCCAATCCCAGATGCGGTCTGCTGGTGGGTTCTGGATATTGAAACGTGGTTGTGGTTGTGCAGGTTGTGGGAGTAGGGTTGGGTGAGGCTGGTTGTGCTTGTGCAGTCAGCAGCGTGGCCCGCTGCTGGTGCCACATGACTCATGCCACCACCACCACCTTCCCCACGCACATTACACATCCCTATTATAACAACATCGTCATCTTCACTGTCAGGTCGTGGTGTAGGGCCACAGGATGTACTCCCAGATTTACTCCTTTGCCTTGGAAGGGCATAAGACACACTACCAGAACGCATGGTGTGTCGTACATACTGCCATTTCATTGGAGAATATTCCCCCTCACTGTCGTAACTCGAGCTGCTTTCAATAACTTTGAAATCACTATCATTATCACTTTCACTGCTCAAATCTGAGTCCTGTAAACAGGAAAATAGTTTCCTTTTTCGTCCTGGTACAGGTGAACGTGAATGAGATGTGCCAGCACCAGAGGTGGACGGTTGTGGGTCATTTGGGTTTTCATCACTAATTATATTATCCTGGGCACTGCTTTCGGTCACACCCTCTCTAAAACCATGAAATTCACTTTCACTAGCACTTCCATCGCTGTTAGAACTATCACTTGGGAACAGTAGACCTCCAATCTGCCAAGGAGTGAGGTACTTCTTACCACAAGGCATGGTGAAAATGGACTACCAAGATGGCATTCCCACAATGCACCATTGAGTCCCAGATATTTTTCACAGGGTGCACACCCACCACCGAGACCCATTCTCTCTCATGTAGGCCTACCAGCTTTCTCCCGCTTGATTTGAAGCCGCTCGAATTTACGCATATAAATACGTCAGAAACATTGGCTCGTAAGACGTATATATACGACCGAAATAGTCAAATGGGTTAAAGCTACTTCCAGTCCTGAAACCAATCAAAATCATCTCAATTTCCATAATATATCTTAAATTCTATCAAGTGAGACAAAGAAACTGAGAATACAACCATAAAAACCACCTGGAAATACACTGCAAAGTCACTATTTTAAAGCAAATACAGTAAATCCTCAGTTAACGTCATTTCATTACAACGATGAGGAAAAAAAATCAATTCCTGGCCAGGGCCACTGTCTGTGTGGAGTCCGCATGTTTATTTTTAAACTGCGTGGTGGTAAGAGGCACTCTTACCACCACGCAATTTTTGTTTTGCAAATATTTATTCCATGATTTACCCTCTTGCTATGAGTGCTAAAGGTGCACTGTGCATGCCTGATGTTTATATCAATTAGTCTATGGTAAAATTGGTTTCATTATACGTCATTTCACTTAATATCACAGTTTTCGAGAACCTATTGATGACATTAAGAACTTTTTATACATGTTCAGTTTTTTTCCCCCATTGTGCACTGCATGGAGCAGGATTTTTTTATTTGGTATACACTCACCACACAGACCTACTGTCTCACAAAGGAAGGCCTACTTAACATACACAACCTGCCTTGCCTCAGTTCTCTGTATGTGTGTGTCCAATACACACACATGAATCTATTTTTTATCTTTTCATCTTCCTATCTTGTCTCAGGATAGCAAACATGGCACCCAAGTGGAATGCAAGTGATCCTGAGAGAGCTGAGCTCATCACATAGTACTACGGCACAGACCCTGAGCTCAAAGCCATAGTACTACGTCATAGAGCTCCAAAACTCATTTGCCCCTTCACTCTTTGAAACAAATTTTCTTAATTCAATTGTGGTTCTCACAGTCTTCCTCGTACCTTTATTTTCACTACTGCTCTTTTTCAAGGCCATGGTCCCTAATTTTTAGTAATATTATAATTAGCACTGTACTAATATTTACACAAAACCACAGTAAAAGAATAGAGGAAGAGAGCAAGGATGACAAATGCATTGTGCAGGAGAATGACACCAACTGTATACTCAAATAATGATCTAATATGTGCTTATTAGCATTTCCCCAACATATATTTAACGCACTATTTTAAAGTTGGCCAGTGTTTCATATGAGCTATTTCTTGTATATAATCTCATGATGAAAATGTTTTCAATAATTCCTAGGTCCTACCTTGTGTCTAATACCTTAAATATTTTATTACATGTAATCTATATTTTACATATAGCTTGTTTCTACTTTCCCCCATTAAGTATGAATCATGTACCAAACATTTTATGCAAACACTGGATCCCCACAAATTCGCAGTTCTGAATTCATGGATTTTTCCTTAGAATCTAACTCACAATTGTTCGTGGAAATCCATGGAAATCCCCGCAAATTCGGGGATTTTTTTTTTTTTTTTTGGCTTTTTTTGTGGCAATATATAATTTTATATGCATTTGAATGCTAAATATTTAAAAAAATATAATTTAATGATTTTGCAACATAAATCTTAACATTAATTCAGCAAAATTTCCATATAAAATACAATACTGTATAAATTTTTTAGTGCTGGTACATATACCAAAGAAAATGGGGTTCCATGAATTACAGTACAAATGGGGGCAACATCGGTATTTTACATTCTAGCACTGCGGGAGACATAGCAGTACAGTACTGTATACAGATTTATCTTTACAATTTTTGTTTTTAAAGGTGATGTATGAAGCTGAGTTTGCAATTAAATTACAGTGTTTTGGGGGCATATTTAGGGCTTAAACTATAAATATAGGCTTTTTTTTTACCGTGTCCAGAATTTGTGGTTTTTCTGAATTCGCGGTTTTTCCAAATTCGCGAATGGTCTTGGAACATTACCCCTGTGAATTTGGGGGGGTGGGGGATCCTATATACTACTTTCTGAAACAATGCAATTATCAATTTTTAATATAAATTCTATATGAAGCTACTATTTTATTGGCAAAATGAGATATTTATGCTGTATAAAACTAATATATGTGACCTTATATTAGTTTTATACAGCATAAAAGCAACTAAATTCATTAAACATTGTATTATGCTCAAGAACTAAAGCTCACCTGTTGGAGTCCTGTCCACATTCAGACATAAAATGGAACAACCTATGAGCAAACATTAATCTGTTTCCTGGCTGCTGACAATTCTCAACACCTTCTTTTAGTGCCTGAATGGCTTCTTGAAACTTCGGAGGCTGACATATGAGAGCTTGGTCTACCAATGCAAGCAAAACATTCCCATTTTCCTTGAGAAAGAAAAGAAACCTTTGTAAATTTTTATTTATAAATTACAGAAATTCTTGCCTTTTCTTAGGTACCTTTTCAAACACTATACTGAAACTTGCAAAACAACTTCATATATGCTTTTTGTGTACAGTAAAATAAAGGAAATTAAAACAATGAATCTGGGGAAATGGGTTAGATCATGGGAATTATTATTTCAATACTGATAGAAGATGCAAGTAAAGAGGTCAGCATACATGTGAAAAAGTAGGGAGGCAAAGATAAATAAATTGAATGGAAAACTAAACATGTTTATCCAGAATTTACTACCAAAGTAAATAAACAGAAAAGACGAAACTAAAAAGGATAATAGCTCTTACCTTATTGTATTCGTGAGCCTCTTTGAGAATTTCTACAGCTTTATCAGGATCACTACAAAACTAAGAATGAAATCATCATTAGTTTAGGTTGATTTTTTTTTTTATCCTAATACACTAAAAGCTTAATAATTTGTTATATATTATTTCAACACCCTCATGAAATGAGTATCACTAACCCTTAAACTGTGGCAAACCCAGAAATAAAATTTCTTGGTGGAAAAAAAAAAAAAAGGGGGGGGGGGGGGGGGTTCAGTTTGAAGGAGCATATTTTTCAAACTAAAACTATCAAAAGAAAAATGAAACCGAAAGAAAACTTATGACTTTATGGTGTTAAAAGTTAATTTTTCTTCTTATTCTTTTTAGTAATCTTTACAGGAAAAGGGGTTACTAGCCCATTGTTCCCGGCATTTTAGTTGACTTTTACAACACGCATGGCTTACGGAGGAAAGATTCTTATTCCACTTCCCCATGGATATAAAAGGAAAATTAATAAGACCAAGAACTATTAAGATAAAGTCAAAGAAAACTCAGATGAGTGTGTATAAATAAATGTGTACATGCATGTGTAGTGTGACCTAAGTGTAAGTAGAAGTAGCAAGACATACCTGCAATCTTGCATATTTATGAGACAGACAAAAGACATCAGCAATCCTACCATCATGTAAAACAATTACAGGCTTTCGTTTTACACTCACTTTGCAGGGCGGTAGTACCTCCCTGGGTGGTTGCTGTCTACCAACCTAGAAACCTGGAAATGGGAAGTACAATGCCTGCACTTTAAAGGAGGGGTTTGGGATACTGGCAGTTTGGAGGGATATGTTGTGTATCTTTATATGTGTATGCTTCTAAACTGTTGTATTCTGAGCACCTCTGCAAAAACAGTGATAATGTGTGAGTGTGGTGAAAGTGTTGAATGATGATGAAAGTATTTTCTTTTTGGGGATTTTCTTTCTTTTTTGGGTCACCCTGCCTCGGTGGGAGACGGCCGACTTGTTGGAAAAAAAAAAAAAAAAAAAGTTAATGAAAATGATAACTCCTTGTCACCAGTAGCTTAAATGCGCCTAGCAGAACATTCATTCCACAATCTACTGATGCCAAATTATGACTATTTTTCAATGTCTAACACTATCTACACTAGCTTCTTATGATGTTAGATGTTTTTCAATGTTTTATAGTATTTATTTATTTTTATTAACACACTGGCCAATTCCCACCAAGGCAGGGTGGCCCAAAAAAGAAAATCTTTCACCATCATTCACTCCATTACTGTCTTGCCAGAAGGGTGCTTTACACTACAGTTTTTAAACTGCAACATTAACACCCCTCCTTCAGAGTGCAGACACTGTACTTCCCATCTCCAGGACTCAAGTCCGGCCTGCCGGTTTCCCTGAATCCCTTCATAAATGTTACTTTGCGCACACTCCAACAGCACGTCAAGTATTAAAAACCATTTGTCTCCATTCACTCCTATCAAACATGCTTACGCATGCCCGCTGGAGTCCAAGCCCCTCGCACACAAAACCTCCTTTACCCCCTCCCTCCAACCTTTCCTAGGCTGACCCCTACCCCGCCTTCCTTCCACTACAGACTGATACACTCTTGAAGTCATTCTGTTTATAGTAGAGTACTCAAAACATGGGGAGAGGCTTAGCCCCACTTGGAACATACATTAGGTGTCATGTACTGTATATGCACACATATACTCATCACACGGATGAGAATGCTCACTATAAATTATAATTTTAAACATAAAATACTGAAATAATTATGGGTTATTAGCCTAACCTACTATTTTGTAAGATTACCCTTTTTCATGCACTCCCTACATCTCCTAGGTGATGATAAGACTGAAGTATGGAGGATAGAACGTCAATATCCTTCCACACCTGCTTAATAGAACTTCCAATGAGCTATCAGGCCTGCGATTAAATACTTAAATTTCACGATCATACAATCAGTTGTCTATTGCTTTGGCAACATGAGAAGGGGGTACTGTTTTGCAAACAAAAGTTGCTCTGGCATCTCATAAAACTATCAGCATATAATTGGCTAAAAGCATTCTCATGAGTGTATATTGATGACACCTACTGTACAGTGTAAATTGGTACAAATAATTTGTTTTAATATTTTATTGTTTTGGTTTCTAACGGTATTGTTTCAGGGTCAGAAAATTAAACAGAAAATTTGGAGCATAAAGATTAGATTGTAGGGTTACCAAAAGTATAATCCAGAGGCCTAAAGGGTTGTTGCAGAGGTGATCTGGACATTCAGAGGATGAAACAAAATAAAATGACCTGGAGGGTATAAAAATCTGGGATAAGGGAACAAGGGGTAGGGGGCCCTCCAAGGATAGGTTGGAGGGAGGGGAGTAAAAGAGGTTTGAAGTGCTAGGGCCATAAACCAGGTTAGGTAAGATTCATCAGGAAACAGGACAAGTGTTTCCTGACCTGTCACTGAAGCTTTTCACCATCTGACTGAGGCCTTCTGCTGGCTTACAGGTCCACCTCTTTAAAAATTAAGATTATAAAAGATCAAAATAAGTAGAGACAAGTAGTTTTCATGTGCTGTGGAGCATGAGCAAGGTAACATTGATGAAGGGATTCAGATAAACCAGTTAAATGGACACAAGTCTTGGAGGTGGAAAGTCGAAAGCCTGCAATCTGAAGGGGTTGTGATAATGCAGTTCGAAGGGCCATCTAAACTGCAATGTCAGCATACTTCAGGTAAGACAATGATGGATTGAACAATGGTGAGTGCATTTCCTTTTTTTTCTGGTGGTGGAGGGGGAAAGGGTACTCTTTTGTGGAAGATAGAAAATTTTAAAAAAATCAAATAGGGAATTATTGAGCTAAAAGAGGTAGCTCATTAAAGCAAATTAACATACTGTATAGAAGTCCCACATGAAAGAAACAATACTCTTTTGACATTCAAAAAGAAGAAAGATTTGTGTGCAAATTTTTAACAAAATCCTTGTTAGTTTTCAATTTAGGGCTTGTGTGCCAAGCCATAAAAATAAACAAAACTGTAAATAACCTAAACTATTCATGCAAGATCTTTCAGAAAAACGAATAATTGATTATTGTTATCATAATCAAAAGAAGTACTAAACCACAAGGATTATACAGTGAGCGAATAATTGAAAAATGTGAATTAGAAGGCACATCAATTTTTGGGCTCGACTATATTCGACAAGTTTATTAATTTTCTGTATACAAAAAAAAAAGTGTATTGCACACAGACAGGGATTATGTAGGGCACATTTCTCAGGTAAGTCAACTTATGGCAGATATGAAATACAGTAAACCCTCACTATAACAGACTACCAGAGCTTGTAATGACCACATGGTGGAGAGAGAAGAGATTGTTTTGCCATGATAGTAACAACTGTCAATTCTATAACTGACAGACTTCATCTGTTGCTTCCAAATCAACTGACCCACCCAATTTTGTTTTGTATTTTCAAAGTACGTTACACCAAGGGTTCATCTACATTTGGAAATGGGGTTTCATTGGTAAATGAGTAAATGCAAATTCAAGTAACTACACACATTACAGTCAGAGGCTGTTCTATATGCAGTCTTAATTATACTGCTCTCCAGTGAATAAACAAGGAAAAAAAATACACTTACAAATGACTGGAATCTCGCAAATTTCAGTGATACATGGGAGTGTGCATTTTTATCTTCCCGGTCTTGACACTGCTGGAGGCAACGTGAAAAAATTTCTTTTGCAGCTCCTAAGTTGTTTCTCCGTCGTTCAACCCCAGCAGCCTGCATCCATGCCTCTAAGCTACCAGGTACACGAGCCTGGATGTCTTCAAGGATTTCCAGTGAGCGGTCACTATTACCTAAACAAAAATTTATTTTGAATAATGCAGCATCCAAGACTAAATGTGAGAAGGATGATAGAGCAAGCAAACCTCAATGTAACAGTCAAGTCCTCTCATACACAGACATTAGAAAAGATGTACCACTATATGGAGGATGCGAGCAATCATCCTTTTCTAAATGAATAACTAGAAATTAGAAGTATTATAATAATACCAATATCAAAGCTTAATTCTAACCTTTCTCCTCTTCAAAAGCTGCCCAAGAGAGATGTGGGCGGAATCTCTCTCGCAGGTGGATAATGCACGCCCTTTGGTATACTGATCGGATTTCTTCTTCCCCAGCTCCTGCTTCTTCTAAATACCGAACATACTGAAAAGCATAATATTCAGATAAGTCACAACAATAGCATTACATTAACAACATATATTCTTGATATAACCATATTCACATATAATGTTGACAATGCTACAAAGGTTTCACATAATGTTAGTGTTGGGGAGGTGTGTGGGTTAAAAAAAAAATACAATCTGATAAAAGTGGGAATTACCACAACTGCTCTTTGCTGATGACAATACTTTTGAAAGATTCAGACGAGAAACTGCATAAGTTGGAAGAGAAATCTGGGAAAAGGTGCAAAAGAAGGGAGTTAAAAGTAACAGAGAGAGCAAGTTGAAGAGCAAGACAATGTCAAAGCAATGAACAAGTAGACCTTTGATTAATGTGCGATCTATTAACACTTTCGGGTTAACATGACTGAAAAGTTGTTGCATATTTTCTTTGAATATGTTGTATTTTTCACTTATCACAGAGTACAGTAGGACCCTGCTTTACGGTGTTCCACTAATACAGACATTTCAAATTATGACCAAAACTCGCTATATGGCTCCTCCTGTCTTTCTAATATGGTCACCACGCCCCACCCGGTTTGCTTACATTCTCCGTGACCATGACTCTCCATTATGTTTGGAAACTTTCCAAAATTTCAAGTGTTTTAAAGTTATTTCATACTTTATATGGGTATTTTTTTATTTTTTTCACAAGTCAGCCATCTCCCATCAAGGCAGGGTGACCCAAAAAGAAAGAAAATCCCTAAAAAGAAAATACTTTCATCATCATTCAACACTTTCACCTCACTCATACATAATCACTGTCTTTGCAGAGGCGCTCAGATACGACAGTTTAGAAGTCCCTCCAAACTGTCAATATCCCAAACCCCTCCTTTAAGGTGCAGGCATTGTACTTCCCATTTATACTTATGTGTAACTGTACCTAAATAAACTTACACACTGTGCTGGCATGCAGGTACACATTAAAATCACTTAGAGTGTCTTAGTCTTGAGGATGCCACATTAATAATGATAACAACAATAATGATGGTAGGACTGCTGGTGTCCTTTTTTTGTCTCAGAAACATGCAAGATTTCAGGTACATCTTGCTACTTCTACTTACACTTAGGTAACACTACACATACATTTATTTTTTTTTTCCCAACAAGTCGGCCGTCTCCCACCGAGGCAGGGTGACCCAAAAAGAAAGAAAATCCCCAAAAAGAAAATACTTTCATCATTCAACACTTTCACCTCACTCACACACAATCACTGTTTTTGCAGAGGTGCTCAGAACACAACAGTTTAGAAGCATATACATATAAAGATACACAACCTATCCCTCCAAACTGCTAATATCCCAAAACTCCTCCTTTAGAGTGCAGGCATTGTACTTCCCATTTCCAGGACTCAAGTCCGGCTACATAAAAATAACCGATTTCCCTGAATCCCTTCACTAAATAATACTCTGCTCACACTCCAAAAGATCGTCAGGTCCCAAATACCATTCGTCTCCATTCACTCCTATTGAACATGCTCATGCATGCCTGCTGGAAGTCCAAGCCCCTCGCCCACAAAACCTCCCTTACCCCTTCCTTCCAACCTTTTCGAGGACGACCCCTACCCTGCCTTCCTTCTTCTACAGATTTAAATGCTCTCCATGTCATTCTGTACAAGCATATATATACACACCCCTCTGGGTTTTCTGCTATTTTCTTTCTAGTTCTTGTTCTTGTTTGTTTCCTCTTATCTCCATGGGGAAGTGGAACAGAATTCTTTCTCCGTAAGCTATGCATGTTGTAAGAGGCGACTAAAATGCCAGGACCAAGGGGCTAGTAACCCCTTCTCCTGTATAAATTACTAAATTTGAAAAGAGAAACTTTTGTTTTTCTTTTTGGGCCACCCTGCCTCGGTGGGATACGGCCGGTTTGTTGAAAGAACAACAATAATACAGTGGACCCCCGGATATCACAGTCGTCAGATTTCGTAATACACGTATTTGGTAATCGTAATATTTTTTTGTCAAAATATTGGCTCAGTGATTGTCATTTAGGTCGGTAATAGTCATTTGTCCCGAACGCGTCCGAGCGGCCCCACTCGTCATTTAGTGTCAGTGTGCCATTATTTATCAGCCAGCGAGCACGATCCCACGTGTTCATACGATGCATTTCGTAATATTCCATTCGTTTTAGTGCTTGCAACTGCTAAATCAGCCACCATGGGCCAAAAGAAAGCTCCAAGTGCCAGCCCTTTGGTAAAGAGGGCAATGAACATGGTAGAATTCAAGAAAGAATACACCAGCCAGGGTACTTCCCCACACATACAATTTGATCTGAGTGGGACTTGCGCATGAGTGAATAGAATTATCAAAGCTTATTGCTTGGGGAGCATTGAAAATTGGGTTGGGCAAATACGATTCTGTTAGTGGAATGGTTTGTGAAGGACGTACCTAGTACGCATGGGCCAACAGGCCTGCTGCAGTGTTCCTGCCTTATGCTCTATGTACACCAGCTAAGGAAATTGCTTCAGAGGAGGAGAAAAAGAGAGGGAAGACGGTGCCTTCTTCAAAGATTAAGGATATTTGTACAAAGTAAAGTGAGGTGCAAACATTTGTGGAGGAACATCACCCTAACCCTCTCCCTTCCTCCCATCTTCCATACACCAACAAGTCTTCAATAAAGGTGATATTATTGTATTGTACTTGATTTCTGTCTTTTCTGTAGGTAAATCTATATTTAATCTATAAAAAAATAATTTTTGTTAATACTTTTAGATGCCTGGAACGGATTAATTAGATTTACGTTATTTATGGGGAAAATGAATTTGGATATCATCAAATTCGACTTTAGTCACTCTCTGGAACGGATTAATTATGATAACCGGGGGTCCACTGTACTACACAATAATAATCACTCTGAGGTGCACTAAATGTTGTATATTACATTAATATACACATTTTCATTAATCCATCTATGATATTTTTTCAAAATATAATAAACATGCTACATAACATATAAACATGAGAAATACACCCCACAGTAGAATAAAGTAACAAATATGAGATGTTAGGTGTAGATGAACATTTATCAACCATAACTAGATGTGTTATAGGTAGCAGGTTGGTAGACAGCAACCACCCAGGGGGGTACTACCATCCTGCCAAGGGAGTGTGAAACGAAAGCCTGTAATTGTTTTACATGATGGTAGGATTGCTGGTGTCTTTTTATTCTGTCTCATACACATGCAAGATTTCAGGTACGTCTTGCTACTTCTACTTACACTTAGGTCACACTTCACATACATGTACAAGCATATATACACGCACCCCTCTGGGTTTTCTTCTATTTTCTTTCTAGTTCTTGTTCTTGTTTATTTCCTCTTACCAACATGGGGAAGTGGAACAGGATTCTTCCTCTGTAAGCCATGCGTGTTGTAAGAGGCGACTAAAATGCCAGGAACAAAGGGCTAGTAACCCCTTCTGTACATATTACTAAATGTAAAAGGAGAAACTTTCGTTTTTCCTTTTGGGCCACCCCACCTCGGTGGGATACAGCCGATGTGTTGAAAGAAAGAACTAGATGTGTTTGTCTGTTTTACATCCTTTACATCTCTCTCCTCTCTTATTTATTCGTCTTACTTCATTTATTCACCTCACCCTACATTAAGACTACAAATTTTTTAAGGAAATTAATGAATGTACTGTATATGCATTTTATCGCTCTGGGAAACTTTAAATGTCATAGTATATTAAGTGTGGGTGGGGTGGGCTGGGGTAGGCTGACCTGGCTGGCTACCATACCTCCCACACCTGACTTCCTACATATAAATACAACTCACCTCTCACCCTACATTAAGACTATATATTTTAAGGTAAGTAATGAGTGCACTGTATGTGTATTTTACTTTTTATTGTTTTTAATGCCTAGTTCTATTGCTAACTTAATATATGTTAGTGTAAACTTGTTATCTGGCATTTATATGCATTTATAAGTGGAAAAAATGGTGTTCCACTTTCCTGCAATGTTCACTTTCCAGTAGAAGCTTGGAACCTAACTTGCCATATAAGTGGGGCCCTACTGTAAATGTAAGGGAAAATATGGAACTACGCGACTTTATTCCCCTCAGACTCATGGTGAGCCTATGGGAAAAGCTACTGTCATGAAGGAAGGCCTACTTAACGCACACAACCTGCCTCACCTCAGTTCTCCGTGCACGTGTGCCCAACACACACTCAACCAGTTACTGAATCTATTTTTTATCTTTTCATCATCCTATCTTGTCTCAGGATAGCAAACATGGCACCCAAGTGGAATGCAAAAGATCCTGGAGGTGTAAAGTAGCAACACAAACTTGAGTCTTGTAGTTTTGAGGAAAATCAACATATTTAAAAATACTAAGCAAGTGAACTGAACCATACCACGGGCGGGGATAGAACCCGCGATCAGATCGCGGGTTCTATCCCCGCCCGTGGTATGGTTTATTTGCAATCATGTCATTATGATTTCGTGAGTCAAGTGAAATGACAAAAAACCAAGGATGCACAACTTAATTTTAACTTAAAAAGCCTTAGTGATATAAAACAGCATGTGGTGAGGAAGGCAGCCCTGAACAAGTGCTTGTTTGGCAGGTTCCACAAGTTCAAAACATGCCATCAGCTTGCTACCTTGCAGTAATGCATCAGGCAATTATAAGTAAAAGCCCATTCTTATTAACTGCCCCAAGACTCCACATGCTTTGTAAGATACAGATAAAATCACCTTACCTGCTATTTGAAGTTAAAATTAATCAGCATGGATGAGAGGAACTATTTATCGACAGCTTTAAGATCGCTACTGTGGGAGTCATGCTTTACCTACAGAGGAAGAACCTTGCATTCAAAGTTCTCTATAGTGTTGATTAATTCCCATACTCACCTAGAATTCTTGGAGGACATGCATCAACATGTAAAAATTGTCTTTACCACCAAACACATCTTTAATATAACCACTGGATCAAGGAGTTATCAAGACATCTAATCCTTTCACTATCTCCCATCTATATCATTGACACCAGTGTTGCTCATGTAGCTCTACATTTCAACTGCAGCCCCTCAAATTCTGGCCTTGACACGAGAGACTGGGTCTCTGCAGCAAGTACAAATAGTATAAAAAAAAAAATTCTGCCTCGTGCAGTGCATGACTGATGGAAAATGCAAACAGTGACTTAAAGATGTTTTCCAGGGTTTTAATGGCCATTTCTTGGTATTAATTGATAGAATGGATCAAAACCACCTCTAGCAAATTAGAGATGATTTTAGTTGGCTTCTGCCCATAAAGTAGCTTGAAATTTGGGTCAAAGTGGCAGAAATATTTGATTTTCTGGCAATTTTCCTAAGGAAGAGTAGGGTGCCACACCTAGCCTCTCCCCACCCCTCGTCTGTTTTTTTTTTTTATTTTTTTTACAGAGTCTGTTTCAATTATTAGGATGGCCTAAATCATGACCAGTTATTCTCAGTTTTATTTTATTATCTGGGAAATAGGGTAAAACCAAGTTTTTGTGTGGTTATGTAATCAAAATGGAGAGCAAGTATTATACAGGAGAGGCCTACAGCATTTATTTTGGACTTTTTTAAACTGGAATTGTTTGAATTTTGAAAAGTGGCCAAATTACTGACTTTTGTGCACATTATTGGGCAGTTTTGATACCTGAATGCACACTGTCTTATGCTCAGTTGATACAAAAGAACACACTTGAGAAATAGCTGGGAATTAAACCACAAAACTAGTTTTGCTCCTGTAACTGCTAAACACAAACAAATTTGAAAACAAAAACTACCTAGAGTACTGGGCCCTTATCAAAGAAAGATAAAACCAAGAATGACAAAGTAAAGACAATACTGAGGATGCAGTACAACATGATCAAGATTGACATCCAAAGAAGATACAAAAAAACGTCATTGCACTCGTTCCCAGTAGCCTGGGCTTAAGAGTAAAACAATCTCAGCATAAAGTATTCAATATAGACAATTTTAAACACTGGTGGAATCCCCAACTAACTAAAGAGCTGAAATAGGCTCCCTTCATAAAGGTGGTAGTAAAGCAATCTCACACCTATAGACCAATAGCACTAACATTATACACTGATAAATTTAGTAGGTAGTAGGTTGGTAGACAGCAACCACCCAGGGAAGTACTACCGTCCTGCCAGATGACTGTGAAACAAAAACCTGTAACTGTTTTGCATGATGGTAGGATTGCTGGTTTCTTTTTCTGTCTCATAAACACGCTAAGATAACAGGGATATCTTGCTACTCCTACTTACACTTTGGTCACACTTCACAGACACGCACATGCATATATATATATACATACATCTAGGTTTTTCTCCTTTTTCTAAATAGCTCTTGTTCTTTTTTATTTCTTCTATTGTCCATGGGGAAGTGGAAAAGAATCTTTCCTCCGTAAGCCATGCGTGTCGTATGAGGCGACTAAAATGCAGGGAGCAATGGGCTAGTAACCCCTTCTCCTGTATACAATTACTAAAAAAGAGAAGAAGAAAAACTTTATAAAACTGGGTTGCTTAAATGTGCGTGGATGTAGTGCGGATGACAAGAAACAGATGATTGCTGATGTTATGAATGAAAAGAAGTTGGATATCCTGGCCCTAAGCGAAACAAAGCTGAAGGGGGTAGGAGAGTTTCAGTGGGGGGAAATAAATGGGATTAAATCTGGAGTATCTGAGAGAGTTAGAGCAAAGGAAGGGGTAGCAGTAATGTTAAATGATCAGTTATGGAAGGAGAAAAGAGAATATGAATGTGTAAATTCAAGAATTATGTGGATTAAAGTAAAGGTTGGATGCGAGAAGTGGGTCATAATAAGCGTGTATGCACCTGGAGAAGAGAGGAATGCAGAGGAGAGAGAGAGATTTTGGGAGATGTTAAGTGAATGTATAGGAGCCTTTGAACCAAGTGAGAGAGTAATTGTGGTAGGGGACTTGAATGCTAAAGTAGGAGAAACTTTTAGAGAGGGTGTGGTAGGTAAGTTTGGTGTGCCAGGTGTAAATGATAATGGGAGCCCTTTGATTGAACTTTGTATAGAAAGGGGTTTAGTTATAGGTAATACATATTTTAAGAAAAAGAGGATAAATAAGTATACACGATATGATGTAGGGCGAAATGACAGTAGTTTGTTGGATTATGTATTGGTAGATAAAAGACTGTTGAGTAGACTTCAGGATGTACATGTTTATAGAGGGGCCACAGATATATCAGATCACTTTCTAGTTGTAGCTACACTGAGAGTAAAAGGTAGATGGGATACAAGGAGAATAGAAGCATCAGGGAAGAGAGAGGTGAAGGTTTATAAACTAAAAGAGGAGGCAGTTAGGGTAAGATATAAACAGCTATTGGAGGATAGGTGGGCTAATGAGAGCATAGGCAATGGGGTCGAAGAGGTATGGGGTAGGTTTAAAAAATGTAGTGTTAGAGTGTTCAGCAGAAGTTTGTGGTTACAGGAAAGTGGGTGCAGGAGGGAAGAGGAGCGATTGGTGGAATGATGATGTAAAGAGAGTAGTAAGGGAGAAAAAGTTAGCATATGAGAAGTTTTTACAAAGTAGAAGTGATGCAAGGAGGGAAGAGTATATGGAGAAAAAGAGAGAAGTTAAGAGAGTGGTGAAGCAATGTAAAAAGAGAGCAAATGAGAGAGTGGGTGAGATGTTATCAACAAATTTTGTTGAAAATAAGAAAAAGTTTTGGAGTGAGATTAACAAGTTAAGAAAGCCTAGAGAACAAATGGATTTGTCAGTTAAAAATAGGAGAGGAGAGTTATTAAATGGAGAGTTAGAGGTATTGGGAAGATGGAAGGAATATTTTGAGGAATTGTTAAATGTTGATGAAGATAGGGAAGCTGTGATTTCGTGTATAGGGCAAGGAGGAATAACATCTTGTAGGAGTGAGGAAGAGCCAGTTGTGAGTGTGGGGGAAGTTCGTGAGGCAGTAGGTAAAATGAAAGGGGGTAAGGCAGCCGGGATTGATGGGATAAAGATAGAAATGTTAAAAGCAGGTGGGGATATAGTTTTGGAGTGGTTGGTGCAATTATTTAATAAATGTATGGAAGAGGGTAAGGTACCTAGGGATTGGCAGAGAGCATGCATAGTTCCTTTGTATAAAGGCAAAGGGGATAAAAGAGAGTGCAAAAAATTATAGGGGGATAAGTCTGTTGAGTGTACCTGGTAAAGTGTATGGTAGAGTTATAATTGAAAGAATTAAGAGTAAGACGGAGAATAGGATAGCAGATGAACAAGGAGGCTTTAGGAAAGGCAGGGGGTGTGTGGACCAGGTGTTTACAGTGAAACATATAAGTGAACAGTATTTAGATAAGGCTAAAGAGGTCTTTGTGGCATTTATGGATTTGGAAAAGGCGTATGACAGGGTGGATAGGGGGGCAATGTGGCAGATGTTGCAAGTGTATGGTGTAGGAGGTAGGTTACTGAAAGCAGTGAAGAGTTTTTACGAGGATAGTGAGGCTCAAGTTAGAGTATGTAGGAAAGAGGGAAATTTTTTCCCAGTAAAAGTAGGCCTTAGACAAGGATGTGTGATGTCACCGTGGTTGTTTAATATATTTATAGATGGGGTTGTAAGAGAAGTAAATGCGAGGGTCTTGGCAAGAGGCGTGGAGTTAAAAGATAAAGAATCACACACAAAGTGGGAGTTGTCACAGCTGCTCTTTGCTGATGACACTGTGCTCTTGGGAGATTCTGAAGAGAAGTTGCAGAGATTGGTGGATGAATTTGGTAGGGTGTGCAAAAGAAGAAATTAAAGGTGAATACAGGAAAGAGTAAGGTTATGAGGATAACAAAAAGATTAGGTGATGAAAGATTGAATATCAGATTGGAGGGAGAGAGTATGGAGGAGGTGAACGTATTCAGATATTTGGGAGTGGACGTGTCAGCGGATGGGTCTATGAAAGATGAGGTGAATCATAGAATTGATGAGGGAAAAAGAGTGAGTGGTGCACTTAGGAGTCTGTGGAGACAAAGAACTTTGTCCTTGGAGGCAAAGAGGGGAATGTATGAGAGTATAGTTTTACCAACGCTCTTATATGGGTGTGAAGCGTGGGTGATGAATGTTGCAGCGAGGAGAAGGCTGGAGGCAGTGGAGATGTCATGTCTGAGGGCAATGTGTGGTGTGAATATAATGCAGAGAATTCGTAGTTTGGAAGTTAGGAGGAGGTGCGGGATTACCAAAACTGTTGTCCAGAGGGCTGAGGAAGGGTTGTTGAGGTGGTTCGGACATGTAGAGAGAATGGAGCGAAACAGAATGACTTCAAGAGTGTATCAGTCTGTAGTGGAAGGAAGGCGGGGTAGGGGTCGGCCTAGGAAGGGTTGGAGGGAGGGGGTAAAGGAGGTTTTGTGTGCGAGGGGCTTGGACTTCCAGCAGGCATGCGTGAGCGTGTTTGATAGGAGTGAATGGAGACAAATGGTTTTTAATACTTGACGTGCTGTTGGAGTGTGAGCAAAGTAACATTTATGAAGGGATTCAGGGAAACCGGCAGGCCGGACTTGAGTCCTGGAGATGGGAAGTACAGTGCCTGCACTCTGAAGGAGGGGTGTTAATGTTGCAGTTTAAAAACTGTAGTGTAAAGCACCCTTCTGGCAAGACAGTGATGGAGTGAATGATGGTGAAAGTTTTTCTTTTTCGGGCCACCCTGCCTTGGTGGGAATCGGCCGGTGTGATAATAAAAAAAAATAATAAAAAAAAATTTAGTTTTAAGCTTTGAGAAATATACAAGTGTCAATACTAATCAGGACAATAAGGATTTTATTACCTATGTCATGGAAATCTACAGTGTGCAACCAATACCAAAATAAAAGCATAATTATATTAAATTTCTTTTATATAAAAATTTATTTAATTTTTTCATTCATTAACTTACCCTCATCCAAAATTCCTCATAAAAGGCACAGGCAATGAGGCACCTTTCAAATAACACTCTTATTCGAGCTGCATTCATCTGCTTGATTTCATAATCCAAGTAATTTCTCCAGGCAGTTAGCTGACTCTTCTCCAAGGGCTTAACATGAAAGTACGGCCTTTTGATAGCATCTTCGTAGCTCCAGAGTGCCTTAACTTCAATCACATTGGTGTCATGAATTTTCTGCCGTGCTGCTATGATGCTCTTTTGCAGGGCTTTGGTTTCTTCATCCTAAAACAAAGACAAAAATTTTATACTTCTAATAATGTAAAGTCAGTGAACTTCTCAAATATTGAAGATGGTAACATCCACATGGGTTCTTCACTGAGTAAAATCTGTATTTCTTATGTAAATATCAGACTTTTTCATAACAAAACGGAGATCGAGGCATATGTATTGTCTATGATTTACCATGATTATGGATCTCTTCAAGGCCAATCCTTTCTGTTAAGCTCACTCTACCTGCAATATAGGAAATTATCTTAACTATGGACAGTTAATTTAGTATAATTTGTATGTCACTGATATATGACTGCATGAATGATTTAACTTTAGTAGATTCAACCTCCCATATTTACTTTGGGTAGGTAACAAATGCCATTGCACCTTGTGTTTGCCTTATGTATCAAATTATCAATAACATATACGAAGCATATTCAATACTCTGAAGGAGTAGTCATTAACAAGTGAAGGACACTCGGGAAGAGCACAAATATGGATATTGCAATATGTCAATCTTAATATAACAAATTATACAATGCATCAGTCAACTTAAAACTGCTTGGGATCAACAAATTATGCCCAGTGGAGGTATCCAATACTTCTAAGGAAAATTAACTACTAAACATTAACAAACCGCAACTATGCTACAGACAATTTATGCATTAATGTTAACTAAGAGTAAATACTGTTTATGAGTAAAGATCACAATATTTCCTTAACTACTATTATCATTTGCTCAATGACTGTTCTCTTACTTTAAACAGCATTCTCAATGGAAAACCAAGGCACTTATTGGACTGCCACACATTTATTATTTCAACAGTGCTTGCATACTCATCTATTAGCTCCTTATGCTTCCCCTCTTTTCCCTTGTGCATTCTATTACCTTGATTCTTAAGATGTCATACTGAAGTGGGAGAACCAACTTTGATGAAACCTGCCAGGTAGGTTGGGCAAAGGAAAAAAAAATAATGAAGACAGGCTAAAAGCAAAAATTACATCAGGATTCACAATAATTTTTCACTGACAATTATTTTATATGAAGAATTTAGAATATAACTTGACAGTCAAAGCAAAAGTTCTGCACAGGGTGGGGATTCGGACTTTTTTTTTTTTTTTTTTTAGTTGAAGATTCAAAGCAATAGTAATTGTGATTAATGACTGCTGCAATAAATGCCATTTGCTGGCATTAACTTTAAATGTTTACAACCCATGTTAAGCAAGAGAAAGTGAATGACTTTTAGCAATTCCAGCTTATATATTAGAATGCATTACAGCTTATACATTTAAAAAGGCTGGTAATCATATTTGTAACCTATTCAATATAATATTAACTTTTTGTATCATTACACATCTTTATGCACTCAAAGACAGTACAATATTACCTCGATTTAAAAGGGCTCTTTCCTAATTACTTTAAGTTAAACTAAACTGTTTATGACCAAAAATTGACATAAATGAAGTTCAAGGATAAATGAGCAAAAGCGTGTGGGGGGGAAATGCATTTTGTGCTTCCATACCAAGCAACACGAGAGACCAAACTCAAAATTTCAAGTTAGGTTGCATAAAGTCAGTGTTTTTAAATAAAAATTTGCTATTTTAAAAATCCCAGAAATATGAAAAATTATAATAACTAAATCATTAAATACACTGCTGCTTTGCCATTTACCAATGTCAAGACATTAATAGTCATTTGAAACTATGGCAGTCATAAAGGGTTTCACTAATAAGCTTCATCTGCAGTTGTGTTCAAATTAGTTTAAATACTAAATGCCCACCAATAAGATTATATGGTCAGAATGAAGTACAACTGTACTGAATGTCTTGTGTGTAATAGATCTGCTTTTTAATGAGAATCTTATTCTCTGTTCAAAGCAAGGGAGGGCTGAATGGTAAACAAAAATGGTCTACAGAAATGGGAATCTTTCAAATATTTGTTGCTGCAAACATACAGAAATTCCCTAACTTACAATGTTCCAACTAATGATGTTCAACACTTAAAACACTGGCACTTTGGAATTAATTACAGAACACTCACAACATATGCAATTGCAATTCACACTATTGGCAACTGCTCCTCTAAATTTTGTTTCCAGGATCAATAGTTGTAAGAAAGTGGTTGTACTCTTGTGCATTTAAGTTCTGGGCACATAACTCATCATTAGAAAAACTACTTTGTCACACAAAGGAATATTTAACTTCCACACCTAAGGCAAGGTTATTATTATTTTAGGGAAAGACCTAGCTTCACCCCTTGATACAAACGCCCTCCTAGGCAGAACATCAGTGCTGCTGAAAGTGCTGGAAATTATTACTGAGGGTGGTTACAAGTCTGAACAAGTGTTTAATGCTGACGAGACAGGATTAAATTGGAAAATACCATCTAAAACTTTTATTAGCAAGCAAGAGAAAAGTGCCCTTGGATTTAAGGGAAATAAAGGATAATTTCAGCTTCCTTCTGTATGCAAGTACATCAGGCAATTTTAAGTGCATGGCTATGTTTATTTATCACCTGTTACATATGGCAGTCTAACAAGACAGCATGGATAAATGAGAAACTGTGGTGTGGTTTAACACCTATTTTATTCCTTCAGTCAAGATATACCTTTCATTTAAGGGTATTCTTACTTCTGATAATTCCAAATCATCCTCAACTCTTTGAGGATGTAGACTCAAATGTGGAGGCAGTGTTATTACCACCAAATATGACATCTTTGATACAACTACTGGTTCAAGAAGTGATTAAGACATTTAAGTGCCACTACACATGCTGGGTAATGCAGAAACTCCTATGGAGTGCCAGAATTCTGGCAAAAATTGAACACTGCATAAGCAATGAATCAACGACAAATAACATTGAGAAAATTACAGCCCAGTGTGGTGAATCATTTCAGAGGTTTTCCCTCAATAGTCATGCTCAAGAAATTGTGGATCTAGCAAGAAGAGTACCAGGTGAGGACTCCGAAATATACAGGCAGGGAGAAATGCAAGAGAAGCTCAATTCCCAGACAGAAGAGAGACAGATAACAGAAGAGCATGAGGAAGAACCTGAAACCACACAAATAACATCCAAGAGATACACGAGAAGCTGCATGCTATGGGTGAAGCTGTCGATTTTTTAACTGAAAAGGGCAATTGATTCATCTAGAAGCATTGCTGCGAAGTGGGACCCTGGAACAGGTATTGATGCCTTATCACCAGCTGTATAAATTACAGTGGACCTTCATTTTTCATAAGCATCGGAAGTCGTAATTTTCGAAAATCGTAATTTTTTTTAAAATACTGATTCGCAAATTGTCTTTTAACTCGCTGATAGTTGTTCTTCCCAAACGTTTACGCATGGCCCTGACCGGCCCCACACTCCATTCATAGCCAGTGTGCCACTGTTTATCAGCAAGTGAGGACAATCCCACGCGCTCATACAATACATTTCGTAATAATCCATTCGTTTTAGTGCCTGCAACTGCTAAACAAGCCACCATGACCCCAAAGAAAGCTCCTAGTACCAGGCCTTTGGTAGAGAAGGCGAGAAACACGATAGAATTCAAGAAAGAACTCGTAGCAAAGTACCAAAGTGGAGGAGGATGAGAGGGAAAATGTACCTTCTTCAGTGATTCTATATGTACTATACTAAAACAGCAAGAGTCGATAAAGGCTGTTTACCTGGAGAGAGTTCCGGGGGTCAATGCCCCCGCGGCCCGGTCTGTGACCAGCCTGGCTGTAGTGCCAGCCAGCAATTAAGTGTAGTATTAACAGTGTAGCAAGTTAAGCAATTAATCGACAGAAAAAGGACAGCACGAACCCAACTCCTCCAACGTTGTTGGAGTTATAAAGGGCTACTGACAACACTGCCGCCCTCCACTACCATTATGTACGGCTTATGCTCTCAGCGGCCCTTATACACCCAATAACAAACCACCACTCGTGATATACGTAATGACAGTTTTTATTCATTCTAGAGTATATGTCATGTTTCTATGTTATTAATATTGTTTATTATGTCATATTAGATGAATTGTGATAGATAAATGAGCCATAGATAGAGTTGATATTAGTGTCATATTGAAGGACTATCTTGTCCTGCCTCCCAAGACACTCCCCCGCCACTGCCACAATTCCTAACATACTTAATGACATATTTTATTCATACACCAACAAGATTCTTCAATAAAGGTTAAGTGTGATGTTATTATTGTTTTATTCTTCATGTCTCATTGTTTTCTATGTAAATCTATATTTCATGTAAAAAAAAAAAAATTTTTTTTTGTTAATACTTTTGGTGTGAAACAGATTAATTGGATTTACATTATTTCTTATAGGGAAAATGGTTTCGCAAATTGTCAATTACGTCATTAGTCACACTCTCGAGAATAGATTAATTACGAAAAATGAGGGTCCACTGTACTGCTGAGCAAAACAGCAGAGATGCACAGCAGAATACCTAAGCAATCTAATACAAGTCAACTAACAACTGCCATCAACATCAAGTTATCCAACCATCAGCAGCAACCCCACAACCATACACCTCAGCCTAGTATGGTTACACTTACTCTCCACTCCAAGATTATTATGCATCAGCAACCAGATTAAAAAAAAAATTCTAATATAACTTTCATAGCTATATGTAATACACGTACCAGGCCTAGTTTTTTTTTTTATCTTTAAAGTTCACTATAGTAAAGGTATTGCACAGGCCTGTATCAACTACAATGTTCAGTAAGAACAAATAATTTTTTAAGAATTCAGTTAAAAAAAAAAAAAAAAATGTAACTTGTGCAAATTATGCAAGTCTACTACTAACTTACATATGCTGATCTGCAACTATAATTGTAAATATCAAACAAATAATTTTGAAATAATTATGTCAGTTTTCTATCAAATTAATATCAATTTGACATACAGGAGGGCCCCACTTATACGGCGGGTTAGGTTCCAGGCTACCGCCGTAAAGCGGAAACCGCCGTAAAGTGGAACACCCTTTTTTTCCACTTACAAATGCATACAAACACTAGATAACAAATTTACACTAACATATATTATGTTAGCAATAGAACCAGGCATCAAAAAAACAATAAAAAAGTACAATACACACATAGTGCACTCACTACTTACCTTAAAATATTTATAGTCTTAATCTAGGGTGAGACAAGTAGTATTCATTGTAAGAAATCAAGTGTGGTATGTATGGTAGTCAGCCAGGCTACCATACCAGGCCACCCCACCCACACATACTATTCTATAATATTTAAGCATCCCAGAGCGATAAAATGTATATACAGTTCACTCATTACTTACCTTAAAATATAGGGTGAGATGAGTAGTATTTATTGTAAAAAATCAAGTGTGGTATGTATGGTAGTCAGCCAGGCTACCATACCAGAGAGAAAGAATGAGTGCATGAGAGAGGACAGGCGCAGAGTTATGTAAACAAACCAGGCGAAGGTAACTTTTGTAAACAGTGTACACGTCTGGTTTGTGTACAAGTTACATTGTGTACAGGTTGTCTCTACATTGATACGGTAGAATAAATAAAGAAGAACACTCCCATTCTCATGTAACATCATTTTGAGAAGAAATGATGCTCTGAGTGAAGGCAATGGAAGTAAGTCACTCTGACTTTTTTGGGTTATCCTAGGTTCTCTACACATATGTTGTTATGTATTTATGTTATGTATCGTGTTTATTATATAATTTTGAAAAAAAATATCACGGATGGATTAATGAAAATGTGTATATTAACGTAATATACAACATTTAATGATACACCGAGCTCAGACAGCATAAACAAACAAACTGAACAGGTTGTGGACGATCACTCGGTCAGGCGAAATAGACGGTATTAATACGTGTCCAGTTTTAGTTCATTCATGTACATTTGTAAGAGTTTGTGAAACTTTTACCTTATAATATTTTTATTATTATTATAATAATTAAATC